GAAAGTTAAATTTTTTAAATATATATATATAGGATATATCATAAATAATTCCATTATGAGTTTAAGGTCAAACAAAAGATTTGTTTATCCCCGCATTTTCTTAGTTGATAAACAATTGGAAATTATCATTAGAAATTTATCTTTTGATACTTTTTATTCAAACTTCTTGACTCCTTCAGTCAGCTAGTTGGTTACTTAGTTGGTTCATCGATGGTGGCGTTTAGCTTTTTGTAGTAAACAGGTGGCACTTTGTTTTTGCTTTTCTTTCATGAGACTCATAAATTCACTTTGCTCATTTGAACATCTGACATACACAAACAAAGAAACAAACTCGAAAATTCTCATGAACTCACTCAGTGATTTATGTGAGAATCACTTGCACAAACACACGCATTGTAGGCTTTCTTTGTTTATCCGGGATTTTTTTAAAATTTTTATTGATGGTTAGTTGTTTACTCTTCTGAGTGAATTGCTTAATAATAATAATAATTAAGGGTTGGGTTTTAGGTTGCATATGAAATGAACTATAAATTGCAACAATGAGTTATCAAACTCGTTACATATAAAGCGGAATATATATTATTATTTATTATTGTTCCCTTGGGTTCCTAGTGGAACATAGGGCTTCAACTGCACGTCTCCACTTGCTTCTGTCTTCTGCTGTGCTTTTCACTTGCATCCATGTTAGTCCATACTGTTTCAACTCCTCTTCATACGATCTCCTCCATGTCACCCTTGCACTGACGTCCCACTCGCCGCTTCCCTTTCGGGTTCCACTCGAGCATTGGCCTGACGCGCGATGTCACCCGAGCGGCCTCCTCAGCGAGTGTCCAATCCATCTCCACTTTCTCCTGCATATTTGTTGGGCGATTGGTTCTTGTTTTGTTTGTTCCCATAGTTTCTTGTTGGTTTGTTCTTTCCGGCCATCTGATCCGAAGGTGAAAGCCTTCGGAATATATATGTGTATATAAATATATTTTAGGGTTGTGTGGAAATATCACTGTCGACTTTTTTACGATGCCAATATCAGATGAAGAATCATTTAAAAATCGCTGAGGAGTCGACAGTGCTCTTTCCCTAATTTTGGACTCTACCACTTCATTAGAATCCGATGCCTAGTAGATTTTTACTGCTACCCCCTCCCGTCAGCCGCCACAATCATCCGTGAATATCTCTTCGCATTGTTGACGTGATAAGTCAATCCCAGTGGTCACAAATTCTCTGTACAGATTTAATTCCTCTCGTAAAGTGTGTCGAATATCAAGAAGTAGTTGTAACGACCAAAACTGACTCATTGTCATCTGAACAAAGGGAACCGACCATCGCGTTCGACTGCATAGCTGACCTAACCCTTATTGAGTTAATTACAGTTAAAAAATGCTCCAACGAAGGCAAAAGATTGTGATTTGCAATAAAAAATACGAAATCAAATAAATCAAATACAGAAATTTCTTAGGTGGTTGGCAGTCTGCAACCTACACAGCTTGACTAGTAAGATTTCACTGTGGTTTCCTTTGGAAATCAATTTATTCAAATAAAACTACATACACTACTGACTGATTGAGGTAAGTAGTTGCTTACCACTCATGTCAAACTGTAGTGACTACTAGCCAGATTGAAATGATTTAAACACCAGACGGTCATCCTGCTTATTTGGGCCCAAGCTCCTCAGCGGTGTACTGTGTAGATTACAGATTGCTGACCAATTTGCAGATTGAGAATTGGATTTATGTTTTGACCAGTTCGCCCAAATAGTCAGCTAGAGGTTGAGTGGTTTGAAATGATTAGGCTCTCGGAACGGAGACAAACGGGGTATATTTTTGATATGAGTAATATGCATCTACTGATATCAGTTGGTCAGTAGTATATAGTAGATCAAATAGTCGAAATTACCTCAAAAATACCATTAGACAGCTATGCAGTAAAGTAAACACTCTAGGTACAAAACAAATACCTTAGAACCGATCAGAATATTCCCAACAAGGTGGGATCAGAGCTCTGTCCACAAGAATCACACATGCCAACAGTTCCCACAGACAGTTCAAGGTCATAATCACCTTTATTCACTCAAACAAAATCACATCGTAAAACAACGCATTGTCAGTATATTGCACAGCCACAAAGAGAAGCATTAACACTAGAGACTAAACAGGGACGAAACCAGGTAATAACTGTTAAGTTAGTTGAAACATCCAAAAAAGCATCAATATTGTAATTGGATAGTTCAGAAGAGATTTTCCAAACAATTATTTCGTTCAGCGAAGAGACTCTTTTCGTCGGCGAATTCATTCACATAGCTGTACAATCGCATTTATATACAATTATTTGTGTATGTGTGTACATGAGGTTTGTCAAGTTTAGATAATTAATCAGGTAATACAAGAATGATCTAATATAGAAACAAGGTTAATTAGTATTCAAGTGTTGGCTTGTAGGGTTTTGATTGGTTACAGGATTTCATCATGAGCTGACATTAGTTAGAGAACCATTGGAAAACCTGGGAGTACTGGACAGCTGTTTCGTCCTAGTTTGGGACTCTTCATCAGTACGCACCCACCGCCAGAGTTCGAACCCAGGACCTTCTGGTTTACAAGGTGAGCTCGTATACCGTTGAGCCACTGGGACCCGATCCAATGGCCCATGAATTCTAACTTCTACCAATTCACAACATAGCGCGACCCCTAGCCAATGTCTTCGGCGAGTATTTGTCCTCACACCCGATCTGCTGCACCCTACTGGTCACGACTTCTCACTAGAAACCCAGGTAACTACCTACCTAAATAGGGCAAGCTGCTAGTGAGCATCTCATTGATATTCAAGTATTGGTTTGTAGGGATTTGATTGGTTACAGGATTTTCATCATGAGCTGATATTAGTTAATTAGTCCTGAACTCTCCATACGGAAGAAGTTCATTCAATCACTACACTTGCAATGAAGGTAATCTATCTTAATACTCGACAGGTAAATTCTTTTTCTTTCTGTCTATTCACTAGTATTATTTTGTCTTTTCAATTGTAATATTTTACATTTTCAACCTTCCTGTTCTCTGCCCTCACCCGATTTAATTTCTACACCTCATTACCACTGTTACTGACTTGACCAATGCTCAATTTCTAGTCATTTATATTACGTCATCAAACTTGTCTGCTCAATTTTAGTTCTAATTTAAATGGCATTATTCTCTACCCCACTTCTCTACCTGCAATTACCTCTGTTGCTACCCTGATCTAAGTTGAAACATTTAAGTCAATTATATATTTTTTTTCCTTCACGTTCCCCAGCGGAACATAGGGCTTCAAGCTAGTGGCTTGAAGTTTCTGTAGCAGTGTTTGTTTTACAGGATGAGGTTGCTAGCCTCATGCCCAACCTTTCCTCTTCACCAGCATTATATCTCGCTTATCGAGGTAGAGGAGTGCGTCGGCCGGGATTCGAACCCCGGACCATGTGCATGGTCGGCAAGCGTCCTAACCGCTATGCCACCGACGCCAATCTTACTTTTGTTGCTGTCTAATTAACCTTGTTTCTATATTAGATCATTCTTGTATTACCTGATTAATTATCTCAACTCGACAAACTTCATGTACACACACAAATAATCATGTATAAATGCGATTGTACAGCTATGTGAATGAATTCGCCGAAAAGAGTCTCTTCGCTGAACGTCTTCTCTTTTTCATATGACTCAATGGGGATTTTTAAGCTAATTATTTCGTTACACTAGGGGAAGACTGTCTTTACTGAAGTTAAAACGAAATAATATGGTACTAGTTCCAGAAGATTTACATACTTCTCTACCTATTATCTAACTGTAATGACACCGATGAGGGAAAAACCTTTACTTTGAGTTCATGAAAGTTGTTCATATTTTCTGTATCTCAATTTTCAACCTACCTACGATTTGAATGGTTAATACCTTAGTTTGATGAAAACTGATTACCAAGACACTGATATGATCTGTCTCAGGTTTGATCACGGACTCATATCTGTTAGAGAAGCACTGTTTCGTCCCAATCTGGGACTCATCATCAGTACGTGCCCACTGGGTTTCTCACCCAGGACCTTCCAGCACTTGGCGAGCTTGTAGACCATCTAGTCAGTGGGACCTAACTGACCCCATGGCCCATGGTTTTCAATGGCTCTCTAACTGATATCAACCCGTGATCAAACTTCAAATTAATCAAATCCTTACAAACAAACTCTGAAAACTGACATTATCATTATTTTTTATACGTTGTATTTGATACTACTTAAATAAGTTATCAGTAGATTTGCTTACTGGTATATTTTTTATGTTAGCAATTGGTAAATGTTACTCATAATAATAATAATCTTCTCAAATTTAATAATTTCTCTTTGAATATGTACTTCATTTATGTGTTTTTCTTTCTTTTTTTTCCGAATTCTACTTTTCGTTTCTCTCATTTATTATGGGTAAAATGTACTCACTGAATAACCTGTATGTGTATATGTATGAACTGCATGCTTAACAAAAACGGTATTAACGCTCTCGGCTATGTATATGTATGGGTTTTTGCGTGTTTGTGTGTGTGTGTGAATATGTGATCTGATGGTGGAATGCCTCATAATTATTACTAATCAACACATATGTAATGTACATAATAACGTATATATATTTATCATTACTTGATATGTTTTTGTATTCTGCTCCTATGGTGCATTGAATGACATAACTAACATTCCGCTAACATGGATTACTGTGGCAACTGTAAATTATATGTGTAATTATTCGGTTGGGTTGTATTGGGTTGGGTTGGGGTGGCTGGGATGATATAATACCTTGAAACACTCCCTACTCAAAAACTGTCTTGCGTTGTGCGTGTTTTAACATTTGCTTGCCTCTCTTTTTTTAATCTGCTTATACTCATTGTGTACATGCATTAATTGCATGTGTGTGTTTGTGCGTGTGTGTGAATTCATCTATATATCTATACAATATACCTCGTTATTGAAACTGTCTAACAAAAAAAAATACTCTTAGATATTCGTGAATGTTTACTTCGTTCACGTAAGTATAAAAGTAGTCGAAATTCTAGTATTTGTTCATCATCAATGTCATCATCGAATAATCATGGGGCTATATGTCCAAGAACACTTGGTTTAAAAGAAGGTGTACGCTTCATTGATCATGGAGAAGATTATGAGTTTGTCAATACAAATAATTTCAATTCTACCATTGATACTGGATTTCGTAATCCAGCTTTTTTAGAGTGGGATAAAAATAGTAAGAGATTAATTTAGTGTGAATTTGTTTGTTTGTTTGTTTCTCGTTTTTTTTCTTTTCTATTGAATTATTTTACTATTTATTCGATTCAGATGACATATTCAATGTATTTTTATGTTCAATGTGATATTTGTTTAAATGGTAGGCAGGTTTGGCGCGAAATATGCATTTAGCATCACTCATTCGTCAATTCCTGAAAGATGTAACTGAATTCAGACACTAGAACCAAGGCAAGGAACGTTGTTCTGTTAACAGTATTTGACCACTTTCACAGATGCTCAGGCATAAAATCAAATGAAGTGGTTAGGAGACTCTCCATTTTCCCTTCCTCATTCAGGTTAAGACAAAGTGGAATTCCAATTTACAAACCACCTAATTGAAAGTGTTCTTTACCTCGGAAACTCATGATGACACGTATCATTTTATCTATTATCACAGAAACTTTGACGCACACAAAATGGAAGTGACAATAACCACACGTATGTCTTAAGATGACTTTTCGATCCCATAGTCCACGGTCAGCAACAACAAGGAAATAACTTCTCATTTCTCGCTTCCTGAGGGGAACATGGAGCTGCAAGCTATGAGCGATGCAATTTCCGTAGCTGTGTTGTTGTTTTCAATCGGCGGGGTCACTAGCCTTATTCTCAAACCCTTCTTCTCTTCCTAGCTTGATACCATTACGTAAATTATCTGAGGTTTAGGAGTGTGTCAGTTGGGAATCATACTCGGATCTATGGCGTGACTGATGGATACTTTATCAATCAACTATTGATGTAACACTATTTCCAAATGTCTTGTGTCTGGATATCTATTTTTGTACTGAGTCGGAGGTTAACTTTTCAGTGCTGCGTAGCTTGAACTAGCCTTTCAGTCACATCCACTCCATCTAGGAGGTTTTTGAGCCCATATAAGTATCAAATTAAGCGGAAACTAAATGTACAGAGTTTGAGAGAAAAGATTCGAACAGTAAGCACGTACGACCTGTTGCTAAGCATTGTTAGTTGTTATACTTCTGAATTATTTATATGATACAGAAGTTCTAAGTGAGTTAGTTATTGGTGTACTTCAACTGATGTTTGGTAGTAGCAGAGAAACTAGAGGAAAGATAAAATTGAGAGAAATGCACTATGTAAGTGTTTCTTCACTGCATTTCGATAACAATGCGTAAATCACAACACTCTTTAGCTACCACTTCATAAGAGAATCACGCAAATTCACCTGTCTGATAGTGTAGTTTTGATAAAAGCGGGATCAAAGAGTATTTCCAGATACACAGCCAGTTAAAGATTGTAATCTTCCAAGATTTGACCATCTATACTATACTTACTTTACTTTACTTCGGCTATCTCCTACGGGAGGATGAGCCGGCTTCATGAACATCTCGAATCATCGCTGCCCAGGCGCGGCGATCTGATGCCGTTTGTAAGAGAGTTCATGAAGTTTCATGGGAATTTGGTACGAGTGATGTCCCCAGAATCGCTCGGCCTTTTGTTTGAGAGTGCAGCTCTAGCCTTTACACAACCAAGTGTGACCTACAAGGCAGTAGGAGTGGAGTAGGGAGTCCACTATCCATTGGCAGCCGGTGACCGGAGTTCGGTTCATACACCTTTTTGAATGGGGCCAGACATCCAGGACATCCAACAAGCCCTTTGTCCATACGTCTGCCGGTGAGCTCCAGTGAGCTTCATACGCCAGTCGTTGGAGGTTTGGAATCAGGGTTTAGCCATCTCCCCTAGACTGTCATCCAATGGACAGTCAACCCGGTGAAGAGCGCCGGGCATCCGCTTTCGCCCTCTCACTTTGGTGAAAAACACCTCCGCCACGTGAAGGCAGTGAGTAGGACTTCCTCAGGAGAGGCTATGTAAGACGCCCGGTCATATGGGAGCATTTCAAGAGGTGTGCGGAGGGGTGACCAACCCGCAGCGCAAGGCACCCACCCCCGACCATCCTGAGGCTTTGGAGGCCATCTATACTATCTACTTAGTCAGTTCTGGGAAGACTAACTAACTGACTAATTTACTTAGTTGAGAAGTTATCTAGAAGGCTGAAAGTTGAATATTATCTCAGAATTTGATACATTAAAAAAAGCCATTTCATTTCAAAATTACTCCTTTGAATCCCATGAAAGTTTTGATGGTTTTGAAGCAACTGTTTAAATTTGTCTAAATTTCAAACATTTCTGGGTTTTTCTACGAAACTGATGAGATAAAACCTACTACTATAAAAAGAAGTCTAGAGTAAAACTTTGAAAGTATAACTTACCAAGGTGTACTAAAAGGTATGAGAAAAATCCTTATGCATGTAGGATTTCAAGTGCCCCCTCTTCTCCCCTCTCTTTTTCCTTTCTACCACCATTGAAATACCTTCTGAAAGCAGTGTAAAATAAAAAAACCCTCCTAATGAAAAGTAAATGTATTATTGTTAGACTGACCAATGGAGTTGGTTTATTCGTGAGTAAAAAAAGACATTCCCGTGAAAATTCCATTCATTCCAGAAGGAATAAATTCACCTTCACAAGACAACAAGCAAGTCATTCATGAAGGGGATATTTTGTAGACGTTTTTAGCATTAGAATCTGGGAAGTACTCCTTTTTATTTCAAGTACTGAAGATAATGTATATATATATATACATGATTACGACATAATTTCACTTCACGCAGTGATTTTTCTGTACATCTGTCATGTAAGTAGGAGGTTTATCTTTTCATTTTATGTTCATTCATAGAATTATATTCATCGAGGTATCGATACATCTATTTGATGAGTGCTAAATGGGGAGAAATTCAAATCTTGAATCCCACTGCTAACCATCATGACACTTCATACATTTATTACCCTTTATGAACTTAAGCAAAGCAAAAATAAATGTTTGTGCAGAATAATATGACACTATCATTTATTTCATCATCTGATTCTCCTCAACTGTTTACAACCTAAAAGTTAATTATGAACTGTGATCAAGATTTGACCGGATAGTCGCAAAATAATTGAGCGCTGAGTGAGAAGTAGACATTTATAAAATTATATTTGTAAAATCTCAGCGAAATTAAAATGATCAATTCTAGCGTTTCGTTCGGCAATCTGGTCCGAACTTCTTCAGGGAAATTAATCAAATTAAAATAAACAGAGGTTTATATATAAAAGGAACAACTCATGTTTTTTAAACTTTGTCCAATCATGAGTCATGCAACAGTCATCAACATGTATCATAAATAAATAAAATAGTATGTTTATATATAAAAGTACATCTCTTGTTTTAAATTGTTTATCCTGTCATGTGAATCAAGAAACAGCTATCAATAAGAATAATAAACAGAACAAAACAAATTTTTTATATGAACTATGTCTTCGATCCACGTTATTTACGTTTAGAGGGGTTCTTTATCGTCAAACAGAAGGCATTGCTATGGGATCATCAGTATCTCCGCTAGTCGCCAATCCGTTTATGCACTCATTAGAAACAAATGCAATTATGAGATGCCCTAGTCCTCCAAAGATGTGGTTAAGATACGTAGATGATACCTTCATCATAATCAAACGTAGTTTGTTAAATGAACTGTTTCACTTAATAAACAATATATCAGAAACTATAAAGTTCTCCAAAGAGGTTGAATCCGATGAGAATGAGTTGGCGTTCCTGGACTGTTTAGTAAGAAAAAATTAGATGGAAAATTTAAAATAAACATTTTTAGAAAGCCGACAAATTCGGATAGATACCTAGATTACCATTCAGCTCATCCATTTACCACCAAAGTAACTGTGGCCAAGAATCTGATCAACAGAGCCAAACGTCTAGTTACTGAGGAGGAAGATATTAACAAGGAATTAAAATTGGTTCAATCCACTCTTGAATCAAATAATTATCCAAAATCCTTCATAAATAGATATTTAAAATGTGAAGATAAGGATGAATCAAAACCTGTTGCTAAGAATTGGGTTAGTACAGCGGTGATTCCTTACCGCAAAGAAACTTCCGACGAAATAAAGCGAATCCTTAACGACCATAATATACGAGTGTATTTTCGTGCATCAAACACCTTACGCTCACTACTGGTTAAGGTTAAGGATAAAATAGGACAAGAAAACCAGCAGAACTGTTTATACCAGATAAATTGTGGGGATTGTAACGCCGTATATGTAGGAGAAACTTCCAGACAGGTAAATGTAAGGGTGAAAGAGCATAAACAATGTCTAAAGGTGGTTCCAAAGACCTCTGCGGACTTGAAGAAGCTAGAAAACAACTCAGCGATTGCACAGTATTCGATAGAAACGGGACATAAAACCGACTTTGATAGGACTAAGGTTCTATAGAAGGGTTTTGGTTCATATAAAGAAAGACTGACTGCAGAAGCCCTACATATATGGGTGAATCCCAACAGTTTGAACATATGTGAAGGTGTGATGTTAGCTGATGCATGGCAAATCCTGACTAATAAATAAATTGGATATGTATCAACAACTAGTCACACTTGATCAAAATCCCCGATTGTCTACGGCATCTTAAGGAGAGAATAACAAATTTATAAAATTATATTATATTTTAATAAGGCATTAAGAAGACAAATTTCGCGAGATGATATCATTTCGTAGTTTCTTTACAACCGCTTTACAACTAACATGGTTAACAATAATAAAATAAAATAAAGTTCATGACAATTACTCAGTTAAATAAAAACAAAAGTACATACTAATGACCAATCATATTTAGATAGGTCAAGTAGTCCAGGGTGTGCGTCGGTGGCATAGTGGTTAGGACGCTCGCCGACCATGCACATGGTCCGGGGTTCGATCCCCGGCCGACGCACTCCTTTACCTCACTAAGCCAGAAATAACGCTGGTGAAGAAGAAAGGTTGGGCATGAGGCTAGCAACCCCATCCTGTAAAATAAGCACTGCTACAGAAACTTCAAGCTACTAGCTTGAAGCCCTATGTTCCGCTGGGAACGTGAAGGAAAGAAAAAGTAGTCCAGGGTAGGCGAAGATTGAAGTCTATTGAT